TCCTCCTCCCCCTCCTCCTCCTCCTCCTCCTCCTCCTCCAGTTTCTTGCGGCCCCTGGGGAAATCGTGCATCCACGAGAACTCATTGGATCGTCGCCGGGCCCATCTGGCGGCGCCTCCTGGCACCGGCAATTGGTGCGCTCCGCGCGCCGGGGGAGGGGGGCCCATAGCGCCGATCCAGGAGATCAGCACAGACTTGCTTCAGGAGGGAAAAAAACACACAGACACAATGAATCGTCGATCCCCCAGAAAATATGGGAAAATATGGGAGGTGGGGGGGGGAAACAAAAACCCAGAAAAAAAACAAAAAAAAAAAAAAAAAAAAAAAAAAAAAAAAAAAAAAAAAAAAAAAAAAAAAAATGGAATATCTTAATTTGTGTGTATTTATTTGTGTGTCCTGGGGCCCCTTCATTGTTTTGGGGGGGGAGTGCAGATTCTCCGTCGTCTGACTAAGTAGGCGGGTCACCACCTCCCGGAAGTCGCGGGTCGAGGACCATGGAAGATGGGGATCCAGAAGGTTTCCGGTGCTTCATGCGTCTTTGGGAGTCGGAGGGGGGGGGCTCTTAGGGAGTCCAAGGGGGTCCGTTTCCCCGAGAGGGAGCCGAGGCCTCTTGAGTTCTCGGGACCCGACCAGGCCAATTCGGTTCCGAGGCTCCGACGAGCTGTTGCGGCCCGATGCTCGCATTAAGTCGGGCCTGTCTCTCTTCAGGGGGAATATGCAAAAATAGTCACACACACACACACACACAAAAAAATCTGGGGACTATGTTTTGCGTATTTTTCAACCATTTGGGAGTAACTTTGGGGTATTTTTAATTGTTGTCCAAAATCGGCCTGTCGGAGGACAGGCCCGACTTAATGCTCGCATGGCGGTGTTGTGCATCCTGGCGCAGCCGATTCGATTCGATTTCGAATCCGTGCCGATGCGGTGCGATCCGACGCACCTTCCGATGCGATCCGACTTCCCGACGCGATGCTCCGACTGATCCTGAATAGCCCAGAGGTCCGGCGCCTTGAAAAAGTCAGCACGATGATTTGTCATAGTTTTCGGCCTCCATGGGGCCCTCGCTGGGCCCCAGGACCGTCAAATAGCAACTCGGAATGAAAAGCCGGCCCCAGGGAAGGGCTCCAGACGTCTGGGGGCCCACGTTGCGAAAACAACACGACATCGAAGTTCTGGGTACTTCCGGGTTGCTTTCTGGGCCCGTTCGGCGTCCGAGCGCGTTCCGCCGCCGAACGGGCTCAGTTCGGACAGGGTCGTGGGAATTAGGCCCCAGACCGACCCTCTGCTGACCCAGATGTGGATAATTCAAATATACACACATACACACATACACACATACACATACACATGCACGTGCACGTACACATACGCGTACACATACACATACGCATACACATACACATGCACGTACACGTACACGCACACGTACATGTACACGTACACATACGCGTACACGTACCCATACACACGTTCGGGCCGAACAAAAGGGGGGGATAGGGAAAGGGGGGGTACGAAGTCTGCTGCATGCAGCTGGTTTCGGCCCCGTCGCTGGGCCCATTCCTCGATACGCGGATATATATATATATATATATATATATATATATATATATATATATATGCTATTGTGTATATGTGTGTGTATTCCAAGGCCCGATTTAATTCTAGAGGCTTGGGAGTTTCTTGGGCGCCTGCTGGCTGCTCGGGTGGTCCCTTTCGGCGGAGGGCTCGGAATGTCAGCTCGAGCTGCCTGTTGGGGCCCTCCTGGGCCATCTTGGGTGCCTCTTGAGCCGTCGTGGGGCCCTCTTCGGCCCTCTCGGAGGCTTCTTGGGCCACCTTTGAGCGACCAATGGGGCCTCTTGAGCCGTCCTGGACGATGTTAAGACCGGACGACTCTTGCTTCTCGGGGCCACCTCGGGGACAGCCTTGAGGCCTTCTTTGTGGGGCGTCTTTGAGGCCCCCTTTGGGCAGTCTCGAGACCATCTCGGTCGTCTTTGAAGGACTCCTCGGCGTGTTGGAGCCCAGCTTGAGCCAGCTTAGATTCAGGAGGGAAAAAACACACAGACACAATTAATCGTCGATTCCCCCGAAGATATGGGAAAATATGGGAAGTGGGGGGGATGACAAAAACCTAGAAAATATTGGAAAATATGGGGAACATGTTATTTGTGTGTATTTATTTGTGTGTTGGACAGGGGAAAGTGGAAGGGGGACAGCCAAGTCTATCACACGCCTTCTTCACCCCTGGCAAGCGGAAGAGGACGACGCTGCATTCCTGCAGGAGGATGGAGGAGGAAGAGGAAGAGGAGGAGGAGGAGGAGGAGGAGGCTGCGCTGATGTTGGAACGGTTTTGGCCTTTCTTCGGTTCCCACTGGGAGGGGAGGGGACGGGAGAGGGATGAAAGGCGTAAGGTTGGATGGAGAAGCGGGGAGAAGGACGAGGAGGAGAAGAGAGAGAGCAAGGAAAATGGCGTGAAGGGGGAGGAGGAAGAGGAGGAGGAGGAGGAGGAGGAGGAGGAAGAGGGGGAGGGGGAGCGAGAGGGGGAGGAGATGAAGTGGTCGAGGAGGACGAGGGATGAGGGAGGCCATGGAAGTGAAAGATAAGGAGGATGAGGAAGGAGAGGTGGAGGAGGTGGAGGAGGAGGAGGAGCAGGAGGAGGAGGAGGATAGGGGGGAAGCAGGAGGAGGCGAGGAGGGAGGCCGAGGGGAGGAGGGGCACAGCAACCTGAAGAGGAGGCGAAGAAGGCGTGGGAGAGGAGGGGGCGGCGGAAGCAATGTTCGTGCCCGATTCGGAGAGCCATCGCCCCCCTGCTCCGTGCCCTGGTCAGCTCCCCGCGCGGGGCTCCGAGCTGTCTTTCCGGCTGCGAGCGCCGGGGGCGTGGACCCTTGGCGCCGTGGCGAGCGCTGGGGGCGTGGGCCCTTGGCGCCGTGGGCGGAGCGCGTGTCGCCGGCACGTCTGCATCAGAGCATCTGCTCTCCCGAGGCTCGTGTCTGGCGGCCCTCGGCAAGCGCCGCAGTTGCTCGGGTCGTGGACCCGGGGCCCTGCTCGCGTGCCTTCTGGTGTCTCCTCGGGCACCTCTCGGGGTCGCACTGGAGGCCTCTTAGGGGGGGGCTCCTGGGGCCTCTTGGAGGCCTCCTGGGGCCTCTTGGAGGCCTCCTGGGGCCTCTTGGGTGCTTCGGGGGAGCTCTGGTGAGCATGTCGGGGGTCGCGGGGGGCAAGATGTGCGCAACGGGTCGAGCACTTGGGAAGCGATGGTTTCTGCTCCCCTCCGCCCCCCCACCCCTCGCCCCCTGACCCCCCCCCTCCTCGCCTGGCCCTGCGGGGCGGGGACGGGGTGGGCGGCGTCAGGCGGCGAGAGACGACGCAGGCTTGCGTCGGTGCGCAGGGCTGTGTGTCCTGCGCTGGCTCTCCGGCACACGCGCACAAGAACGTCATGCTCTGAGCCTGCTCCACCGCCCGCGGCGTCCTCTCCCCCCTCCGCGCCTCTCCCCCGCTCATGATGTGCTCAACTCGGCCCCAAAGCGCCCCTCGGCCGCCCCGACTGCGTCTCGGCTCTGAGTCGCCGCGGCTGAAGGATTGGGCCCTGCGCTTCCTCACCTTGGCCCTCCAATGCGCCGTCCCTGGCAATGTGTCTGCCCTGCATCGAACCTGTGGCGGCCGTCGCTTCCGCTCCGGCCTCTTGCACGATCGCTTGCCACACTGTCCGCCGCGACGCTGCGCGCGGTCGCCGGCGAGGGATGGCGGGCGCGTGACTCCCACAGGCCTGCGGCGGTACAAGCGGGCCCCGCCGTGCTCGCACGCCCTGCGGTGGGAACGATGAGGACGAGGATCCTGAGGACAAAGGGGGGGCGAGCAGCAGCAGGAGGTCTGCTTCTCCTCCCCCCCCCATCCTCCGTCCGGCCCTGTCCTCTGCCTCCTTCTCCTCCTCCTCCTGCTCCTCCTCCTCCTTCCCCTCCTCCTCCTCCTCCTCCTTCTCCTCCTCCTCCTCCGCCTCCTCCTCCTCCTCCTCCTTTTACGAAGGGCAAGCATGAAGGCCGAGGTTGTTGCTTTTTCCTGGATCCTCCTCCTCCTCCTCCTCTCTCCTCCTCTTCCTCCTCCTCCCTTTCCTCCTCCTCCTCCTCCTCCTCCTCCTCCTCCTCCTCCTCCTCCTCATCCTCATCCTCATCCTCGGCCTCCTGCCCTCGTCCTGCCATCTTGGCCCTCCGTCTCCCGTGCTCCTGCCCCCCTCCTGCCCGCCCGCGCGTTCAGGAGACGTACGCCACGGCGAGGGTGAGCGCCCCGCTGTGCAACGCCTCGCGGGCGCCGCCCAGGCCGAAGTCGCGGCGGCCCTTCTCCATGCCAGGCGGCCGGTCGGGTTCTCGTCCTCGCTCCGCCTTGCCAGTCCTCCTTCCCCCCATTCCTCCGCTTCTGTTCCCCCTCCTGCCTCCCGTCCTCATCCTCCTTCGCCTCCCTCCTCCTCCTCCTCCTCCTCCTCCTCCTCCTCCTCCTCCTCCTCCTCCTCCTCCTCCTCCTCCTCCTCCTCCTCCTTCCTCCTCCTCATCATCATTCCCCCTCAGGCCTCATCGTTCCTTCTGCGTGTGATTAATCATCCTTCCTTCCTTCCTTCCTTCCTTCCTTCCTTCATTCCTTCCTTCCTCCTTCCTTCCCTTCCTCATCCTCCTTCTCCTCCTCCTCCTCCTCGTCCTCCTCCTCTTCCTCCTCGTCCTCCCGCCTCCTCCTCCTCCTCATCCTCCTCCTCCTCCTCCACATCATCATCATCATCATCATCATCATCATCATCATCATCATCAGCAGCAGCAGCAGCAGCAGCATCATCATCATCAACATAATCCTCATCCTCATCCTTATCCTTCTCGTTCTGATCCGCCCTCGTCGGTTTGATCCTCATCATAAGTAGTTATCCACCTGATTGTTCTTACCGTTCTTCTCCTGCTTCTTCTTCTTCCTTACAGCTCTCCCCCTGGCCATCCTCACCGTTCTCCTCCTGCTTCTGCTGCACCATCCATCATCACCATCACCGACACCACCAGCATGTCTACGATGTATCTCCCTCCATATCACCTGCCCTCCTGTCCATCATTCCCCTCTCCTTCCCCTTCCTCGTCGTCAACTCTCCGCCTTCCAGTCCCCACGTTCCCCGCGATATGAGAGGCGCGGCATCTGGGCCCCCCGAGGGGGAGCTGCCAGGGGGTGCGGGCACGGGACCGTTCGCGCCCGATGCGGCGGGGTCCCTCGGGCCGCCTCGCAGACTTGGGGGGCCTTCGCTCAAGCATGGCACCTGGGCCTCCGAGAGATGGGGGGGGTCGACCGGACGTGCTGCACCAGGGAGACCCGGAGGCCCCAGGACGCCCCAGGAAGCCCCAGGCTCCAAGAGGCCCCGGGGGGGGACCCGGGACGCCACAAGAGGCCCGAGGATCGCGCAGGAAGCCCCAGGAAACCTCGCCTCACTCATGCGATGAATCATTCGTGATCCCATCCAGTCACATTGAAGCCCCCATTCGTACCCAGAGTCGCTCATTCACTCGCTCTTGGGCCCATTCGTACCCAGGCGCTGGTTCGCTGACAAGCGCACGTGATCCCGACTCTTACCCATACTCACCCATACGCGGACCGACTCGTCCTGAGACGATCTATCTCAGCCGTTCGCACATTCAAATCGAAGCACAAGTCACACTCACGCGCACCCAGATTCATTGATATTCAATGATACTCAGAATCCCCCGTACTTGAAGACAGTACCCAACCACTCGTCCTCAGAGTCATCCCCGCCCAGATTCACTCATACCCCGCCGCTCGTGTTCGGATCCGACCACACCCAGGCTCAACGCTCCAGAGGAGAAGTGTTGGAATATGCACCTGCGGAGATTCCAGCGCCGAATAAGTCAAACAAATCACGCACGTTTTTTTTCATCATGTCTCCCCTCCTTATTATATGAACCCCCGTCCGTGTCCTCACTGGCATTCCCTTCTTGCTATTTCTCTAGACCCCTTCCCCACATCATCCTTTCCTCCTCTCTCACCCTCATTTTCCTCCTCATCCCCCTCCTCGCACGCGGCACCGGAAAGACATCAAATGGGGGCGGTTGCTTCTTTCCCGCCTCCTCTGTTTCCTTATCATGTTCCACGCTGTCATTTTGCTCCTCCACCTGGCCCTCTCATCTGCTCTGCTCGGCTCGTCCTTTTCCTCGCCCTCGCCATCTTCGTTCTCAGCTCCCTTCCTCTTATCATTTTTCCACATCCACACCCATATCCCCCCATTTACATGCTCCGTCTCCTCATATCCATCCCTATCCTCCTCCGCGGCCTTGCCTCTTACCCATCCCTTGTCCTCCCTCCTCTATCTTTCTCCTGCCCACTCATGCTCATACTCCTCCGCCTCCTCCTCTTCCGAAGCCAGGGGTGTGCAAGACGGCTTTAAAGTTGTCCCTACGCTGTATGCTCCCTCTGGCCTTGCCATACCGCGGTTGCTCTTGATGTAACGTGTCAAGCGATATGTGTTGGTTTGCTTACAGATGGAAGAAGCTAATGGAACTATGTCGTATATCGCTGGACGCGCGCTGCGGCATGTTGGCCAACTACCCGTACCGGCATATTGATGTGTTCCCGATGGCCGCTCACGCCAAACGCAGAGCTTTTTCCTCTGACACGACACGGCACCTTCAGCATATCGACATTGCATATCAAGTGGTGAGACATCATGCGCAAAAGTGTGCAGACGGCTTCTCAAGATTCTTGATCGCGAGTTGGCAACCTCGGTTCCAAGGAGACGCAAACCCACAGGGGGCATGCGTGCCGAGGTTCGCTTGCAACTTGGCGAAACCAGGCAGCCATGCAAGCTCGCCACAAAGCCGAGACGTTGCCCCCTTCACCGTGCCGACAATCGAGCCGTTGACCGCTGTTTCTCGCATCCTCGAACATGCCAAATGCCAGTATGATGCGCAGTTTACGGCATATGTGGGCCGCGTGGAGTCGCAAAATTTGTGTATCGCCAGGCTCCTGGGCATCGTTGCCTCATACTCCGCTGCGAAATCTGCGAAGGGTGACCATCGTTGTGGGACATCCGAGGACACCGCGAGCGCCGACGACTGCCCCTCTGGTCATTCTTCCGGGCTTGCTGCGGCGTGGGGCGAGACCGATGGCATCAGAGCGCAGTGCAACATCCGGGCATCTTGGCGCGTGCCCATTCAATCAGAGGCGTCAAAACACATGCGCGAGGCGGCACCGGCTATCTTCCAGATGGTTCGATTAGTCTTTCGCCCTTATACCCAAGTATGACGAACGATTTGCACGTCAGTGTCGCTACGAGCCTCCATCAGAGTTTCCCCTGAGCTTGCCCTTCTCAGGCATAGTTCACGATTTTTCGGGTCCTAGCAGATATGCCCAGGGAAGAACCCGTGGTAACCATTCTTGTGGCCAGCGTGGGTGAGGTTGTCCTTTCCGGTCGCTGGGGGTGTCACTGACTGTCTGCTCCCGCGGGTGGGCAGCGTTGGGAACCGCGTCGCGGACCAAGTGTGCTTGTTGCGTTGCGCGTGCTCGAATGGGCACACCGCCACGGTCGGGGTCGGCCAGGCCACGCCACCCGGCGGCACCTCGGACGCACTGGGGCGTCTGAGAGGGGAGTTCTCGGCGTTTGGCACGCGGCCTGAGGAGGTCGAGGTTTCCCACTCCAGCCCGTTCAGTTCTGCCAGGCGGGGTGCCCGCTCTCTTGCTTGCAGCGACAGGGCGGAGCAATCGCCATCGGTGGTGTTATGCAAGTTCGGAGTTGAGCGCAATCGCCCTGAGTGCACAGTTTCGCACCCAGGCCGTCTTAAGATTGATGGTTCGGAGGGAACTGTTTCTGGCTGCCCGCAACGGAGTTCGAAGCCCATCGACTACAAGCGGTTTGAGGACTTCGTAGCGGAGTCCGACGTCTTCGGCATATTGAACATACTCCACTTTGCTCCCAGCGACCCCCCACCCGAGCCTGAAGATGACTGATTTGATGCAATATATATATATATACACATATATATATATATATATATATATCGATGCCTGGAACTAGTTGGTTTGGACTTACCGCGAGAACGTCTCCTAGCCGGCTCTTTCATCATATACTCGCCCCCTTCTTCTTCGTATGCCCATTTTCCGTGTACTACTTGTCCTTGGCCCCCCCTCATTGAGGTCGTTATGCAAGGGGTTCCGCCCTCGCTGATTCCCCATTCCGCGGGGGGGCGGACCTTTCAGAGCTTAGAAAGACTTCCTGCATAACGCCGCGCGTCCTCCAGCTCCTCCTCCTCCGTAGCCATTGCGGCTCATGACGGCATATTTTGATTTGCGGTTCGAGCGAGCCTCAGCATGGTGTATCCTTCTTGATTTTGTGATCGTTTAGGGTGTATTAGCAAGCATGGACGTTGTCAGTGGTCATAGTTCTTATTTGTTTGGCCGTTCGGTGCGTCTGCTCGCTGAGTACGCGGATTGCCGTTTCAATAGGTTGGAGATAGTTGCACATGCCCATCGTCATATTTTACCCAATGCTACGCGACGTCGGTTGCAGCACAGCGACATAGCTTTCCAGTTTGCCAGACACTACACACTACACCACGCAGAGGGAGGAACAGTTCATGGTCTCATTGGAGGATGAGCTGAAGGTTGCGTACCCTGATGGACGCATTACGCAGCGAGCTTGTGCAACTCGCCACCACCGTGGCCACGCTCGGGCTTCGCATCCGTTGGACTCTGATGCTCAGGAGTTTCATCCAGCTGCAGCTCCTGTTACAGAGCCGCAACCATTTTCGATGCCAGGGGTTTTGGCGGCGGCACAAAGTTCACAGGACGGCCAGCTTGCTGCCCACCGCGCTTTTGTCGATGCTCAAAACACTTCGACTGCTCAGCTGCATGGCACACTGAAGAAGGAGGCGCACGCGTCTGGTCCCAGCGTTTCTTCGGCAAGCTATTCGTCCTCTGCCCCCCCACGGTCCTCTTCGCGCTCGGTCGGATTCACGGGCGGCTCCTGAGGCCCGAATTCCGTGAGACGCCCCGCATACATGCTCCTGTGAGTAAGGCATTGGACTTCAGACGCAGCCGCCCCTTGGAAATTGCCCCACCCCAGCCAGCACAGGTTTCTTGCTTTGCCCGGCCGAGACGGGCAGTAGATTCAACGAGCCCCGTGCAATCACAGCACTGCCAGCGACCTCCATCGGGCAGCTCAGACCGGCGGCCAGGCCCACGCGCACGGACCACCGCGGGGCGGCGATTCCGCACCCGCCCCCGAAACCGACCGCACGGGAGGAAAGGGAGGAAGGGCACTTTATTGTTGCTGAGCTCTACTCTGAAACTGCTGACGCATCTGAGCATCTGTCCACATGCAGCGCGCAGGCGGCCCTCGCCTGCTCAACGTTCCAGCGCGGAGGGGTGCGGGGCTCGACCCCGTTCCCTCGCACGAGCGCCCGCCGCCCGCAGTCACGAGGTGGCCCCAGCAGGCCCCAGGGTCCGCCGCCGAGGAGCAGCCACGCGGGGCTTCGTCTGAGCTGCGGGCAACGACTCTCCTGGCACAAGGTCTTGGTCTTCCAGGGCGTTCCAGATTGAAACGCCAGAGACGAGCCGTGATCTGATCAGAGGCTACACTGAAGGCTTTCCCTTAGAGAAGCCCATCAATCGTGTGCTTACTGTCGACGATGGGCCTCTTCAGGCCGACGGAGTTTTTCGACGGTCTGAAAGAGACGGCCCGCAATTCGAAAACCAGAGAGGTCTGGTTGGGCAGGGGAATGGGTCCGAACATCGACAGAGCTTCGGCGGTGCGCTCAGCGTCCCAAGATACCGCCGCGAAACTTCCTACAGACAATTCTTCTACACCAGGATTCAGAGCACTGCCGTCCGCCGCCATCCATCCAGACAGCACGGGCAACGACTCCTTATCATTCACTTGGAAGGAATCTGGCGGGACGGGGACGGGGTACTCGGAGAGAGGACTAGCCATCAATCCTCGGGCCCGCCTCATCTCACTGGCATCTGACTGCTGATTAGCGACTGCGATTCCAAACTGCACGACGTCACTGAACCCATTATTTTCTGGACCGCTCAGGCGTTTGCGCACAGCGGCACATTCGTCCGCATGACATTCGTAGTACACGTGCATCAGCGAGCTTAGCGCCTCCTCGCACATCGGGCAGATGTTGGAGCCCACCCGGCCATTCTCTCAGCAGTGCGTCTGAGACGGGCAGTTTCCAATCGCTGCGGTCCTCGTGCGCTTGATGTGCTGGCGCGTCCAGACCTGGTCGTCCTTCTTCGCGTCCATGGCCTGCCGGTCGGGGAGAAGCCAAGGTGACAGCCTCGAGGAGGCCCTGTCCTCCTGGACGTGGGCCCAGTCGAAGGGCTCCTTCTTCTTCTTCTTGATGACCCTCTCGGCCTTCCTAATGAGCTCCGGCGGCAGCACCTCCCGAATATCGATCAAAGGGCCGCCCTCGTCTCGCCCGGTGCGCCAGGGGGCGGCCATCGCTGCTCCTGCGAGGCCTTTCGCCACCCTCCACGCATCCATGCCGCTGGCTGCATGGGAAATGCCCGGATACTGGCGCCTCCGATTTGTGACACCGGCTTGCGTCGCTCGGATTTGGTCCCGTGCCTCTTGTGCCAGTACTCTCAGAGGCACCAGTTCGTTCTCCGAGAGCCTGAGGCCCACCGCTTCGAGCGCCGGCTGGACTTCGCTGGCCAGGCCCTCTGAGTTGGTCACGAACTTCGGCCTGCCATGCTGGCTTCTGGAGAGCTTCGTCTGCATGACATCCTCCAAATATGCGCGTGAGCATGGTGGCCACTTGGGGGAAGACGCGATGACGTTCGGAGCTCAAGAGACCGGGGTCAATGCAAACGGGGTGTCAGCCAGAGCGCCGAATCTTTCAATACCCTGCAGGGTCAGGGTCGCATTGAGCCGGGCTTGGGCGCAGGATCCCGCAGGATTTTGCAGGATCCTGCAGGGCCTCACCGACCCGGGTCTGGGTTGACCCAGGTCAGAAGATCCCCGAGGCGTCCCCGCATTTGGTGCTGCAAGTTTGGGCCCTCGCCCTGGCTCGGCAACGCGCAGAAGGGGGGGCAGGGGGAGGGGGGAAGGCTTCTTCGAAGCACCCCTGCCTCTTAGAAGGCGCGGGCCTTCTCTACAGACGTAAGGCCGAGGCCTTCTAAGAAGCAGGGGTGCTTCTAAGAAGCCATCCCCCCTCCCCCTACCCCCCCTTCTGCGCACCACCAGCTGGCCACGGCGAGGTCGGTCCTCGGGTGCCGCACCACCTTCGGGAGCCGATCTGGCGAGCCCGGCCCCCGCGGGCGGGCCGGCGTGCGTGCGCGCGCGGCGACGGCGATGGCCCAGCCCTCGCGGGCGGCCCCGGGGGAAGGCGAAGGGCTCCAGACGCAGAGCCAGAATGCCCATCGGTACCTCCTGCGTCATCCCAAGGAACCATCTTAAAGCGAGCGGCGTGTATGTATATATGTATTATGTATATATGTATGGTATACGTATATCGAATTGTATACAAACAGTCAAACGTATATAAATACATATATATATATATATATACCTATATTAATAAATACATATATACATATACTTACGTGTAGACATGTAAGTGTGTATGTATGTATGCATGTATGCATGCATGTATGCATGCATGTTTGCATGTATGCGTGTATGCATGTATGCATGTATGCATGTATGTATGTATGCATGTATGCATGCATGCATGCACACATGTATGAATGTATGCATGTATGCATGTATGCATGTATGCATGTATGCATGTATGCATGTATGCATGTATGCATGCATGCATGCATGCATGCATGCATGCATGTCTGTGTGTATGTATGTATGTATGTATGTATGTATGTATGTATGTATGTATGTATGTATGTATGTATGTATGTATGTGTGTATGTGTGTATGTATGTATGTATGGATGTATGTGTGTGTATGGTTGTTTGTTTGTTTGTATGTATGTATGTATGTATGTATGGATGGATGGATGGATGGATGGATGGATGGATGGATGTATGTATGTATGTGTGTATGTATGTATGTATGTACGTACGTATGTATGTATGTATGTATGTATGTATGTATGTATGTATGTATGTATTCATATGCCTTCTCCAGGTCGAGGAGCCCCGCGATGGAGTGGAAGGGCGTGCCCTGCAGAGACTCGTCGTCAAGCGTGCCTCTCCAGACCGCAATGTCACTGCTCTTGCCAGGCGCTGCCCAGTCGAACGACCGAACATGCTTGTCTTCGCACGCTCTGATGTTAGGGTACCTCGCGGCTCCCCAGATCCGCACTGGAGTGGTGCGAGCGGCTTGGCTTCTCCCTCCTCCAGGAAGAAGATGAGCATCTGAACGGCTGTGGGCCATGTACACTGCACCTCACACGGCATGAATACCTGGGCAAGGAAATTGCTCCGTCAACCCAAATGGCCGAAGTGCCAACCATCCATGCCAAGCCCCGTCCCCCATTTGTAGATCATGTAGATAGTCCTCAGCTGGCCAGCCTCGATGTTTGACAGTAGTCGAGCTTGCTGGACTCGTATTTCTGCCACGTGGTCTTCATTCCACAACCTGTTGATACTGTCCAGCCCCTACTCTCCAGATGTTCTCCCACTCTGCCGACTCGGCCGACACTGCTTCCTGGGGTTAGGTGGCAGCTTGACTTTTTTGACCGATGAGATGGGTGCTTTCCAGGCCTGCTTCCAGTGACGTCTCTTATGAAAGTAGCCACCAGAGCCAGGATAGTTATCACCCAGCCTGTTGTAGAGGGTGTCCGACCTCATTCGCATCACATGTGCCTCTCAAATTGGGGCGCGTTTCCGGCAGAAGATGGGCATGGAGTTGAGTGCGCCCGCGATGAGAATGGAGGGCTCGCACTTGAACAAGCCCGTCAGCGCGGTGAGGAACGTGGTCCCCCAGTTCTCCATTTGCTGCCAGTGGTGTGCAGCTTGTAGAAGTCGTCGCCATCCCTTTCGAAGTTGGCGATGAGTCTCTGGTAGTTATCCGTCTTGCTCGGCGTTAGGACCGTTCCTGCGTCGTGTGTGGCAGCTTCCCCAAGCTCGGCCTCAGGGTGGCCTCGCAGGACGAAACACACCAGCCGGCCAAGCCAGGCCAGCTCGCCCGCAGCCCATCGCCGGGCCCTCGCGGGGCCCCGATCGGCGAGGGGGCTGGACAACCTGGGGACAAGCTGCCGCACTGCGATCTCCAGAACTGTACCTCGACCTGGATACTTCTCGGCACGGGCTTCGCTCCAGCCGAACAGGTATTGAGGCTCGGCCTCCGCGCCCTCGCAGAAGGTGGTCCGGGCTTGGTCCAGCTTGTCCTGGCCGTCCACCTGCTCGAGCTCGGGGAACTCCGCCGTCTTGGACGGCATGACAGGCGGCGGCCTCACGATCGGGCACTGCTTCGACATCTTGACAGCGTGGATATCGCAGGCGGCCCACGGCTTATTGGATCTCTGCCGAGTCGGTCGACAAGGTAGGTAGGGCATGTCCTCGAAGGATTGGACATCCTCAAAGACCCCAGCCATGCGAGAATACATCCAGAAGGAGTCGAGCACCCCATCGAAGAAGCACGCCTGACCCTGCTTGATTGACTTGACCCTGCAGGTGCCGCCTTCGCCAGTCCAGACCATCACGTGACCCTCGACTTCCTGGTTCCACGGGCTGTCGGCGATGGACTTGGCCTCGCTGGTGGAATGCGTAGCTGGATCACCCAATCGACGATGGTGTCCAAGATTTCTGCATTGGCTGCCCATGTCATAGGCTTTCCTGTCCACCGGCACACGGAGAAGAAGACAACCCATCCTATGCCACGTACTTCCGACAGCCCTAGTCAGAGCCTACTTGCAGAACCTTAGGCGAGATGTTCCAGCTCTTCTGGTCGGGCACCATGCTCATCGCCAGGCCAGCGGTGGTGAGGAGAGCGACACCCGCCGAGACCCCGCCCTCGGACTTGCTGACCGCCGGCGCTCCGATGGCTCGCCATCCTCGACTCTCGGGCAGCACCTGAGGTATGCGGCCAGTCCGCGGGCTTGCCATGCTCCTTGCACGGCCACTACAGGGATTGCACCTTCGCCAGTGACATCCTGGAGGAACATGAGAACAAGGAGTAAGAGGAAAATGAGACAAAGGAGGAAGAGGTTGAGGAGGAGGTTGAGGAGGAGGAGGAGGAGGCGGAACAGGAACAGAAACAGGAACAGGAACAGGAACAGGAACAGGAACAGGAACAGGAACAGGAGGAGGAGGAGGAGGAGGAGGAGGAGGGGGAGGAGGAGGAGGAGGAGGAGGAGGAGGAGGAGGAGGAGGAGGAGGAGGAGGGAGGAGGATATAAGGAGGAGGAGGAGGAGGAGGAGGAGGAGGAGGAGGAGGATATAAGGAGGAGGAGGAGTAGGAGGAGGAGGAGGAGGAGGAGGAGGACCTCTGTGCCATGACATGTTGTCCCGCGCCCTGCAGGGCGTGGCGGCACCGGTGCGCGGCGCACATCGCGCCCTGCGCTCCCCGCCGGCGCCGGCCCTGCGTCGACAGCGCGGCGGGGCGGAGGCGCGGCGCGCCTCGCGCCCTGCGCGTTGCGTGGCAGGCGCGGGGGCGCGGCGCCCGCGCGAGGAGGGCGACGGCGCCGTGAGAGGCGCCGCGCGCACCTCCAGGAGCCCGATGCACTCTGCGCCATGGCATGGTGCCACTGGAGGACGCCAGCACCAGGCGCCTCTGGCCAGAGCGCCCCCGTCCCTCGCCCACGCCCACGCCCCGCGGCGCCGGCAGCGGGGCGGCGCGACGCCCTCTCCCCAGGTGCCGGGAGGGCCCGCGCAGGTCACAGGGGTGGCGCAGTCGCCGCTTCTCTTGCTGCCGGTGCGTGGAGCCCAGCACCTGCCTTTTGGGGGCGCGCTCCTCCTCGGGCACTTTCGCCAGCAGCTGCTCGACGAGTTCGTGGCGCTTCCGTTTGGGCTCGTCGTCGTCGTCGTCGAGCCCCATGCACGGCGGCACGGGGAGCTCCTCAGCAGGGCCAGCAGCAGCGGCGGGCGCGGCCGCAGCGGGTGCCCCCGCCACAGGCGTAACAGGCTGAGGAGCCAGCGGGGTGTTCTAGACCTTGCCGAGGAGGTCATTGAGCACGAACGTGCAGTCCTCGGGCACATTGGCGCCCTCACAAACACCTTTCTGCGGCACTGGCTCCTGCAAGAGCTTCTCCAGACCGTCGACGAGAAGTCGGACAGCTGCATTCCTGCAAAGTTGTGCTGCTCGTGCTTCAGGCTGAGGTTGCTCTTCTGGCAGCCCTTTCGCCAGCGCTGCCTTCTCTGCCTCCTCCTCCTCCTCCTCCTCCCTCCTCCTCCTCCTCCTCCCTCCTCTCCTCCTCCTCCTCCTCCTCCTCCTCCCGCGCTCGCTGGGAACCTCCGAGATCTTCCAGAAACCCTTCGAACACCGACGTCGACGACGACGACGACGACCACGACGACGACGACGACGACGACGACGACGACGATGACGACGACGACGACGCCGGCGCCGGCGCCGGCGCCGGCGCCGACGCCGTCTCCGACGCCGACGCCAGGCAGCTGGCGGGGCATCTGCCGCGACCTGCCGTTGCCGCAGGACACGCTCGTCACGATGGCCCACTGGGACGGCCAGAACGCCTGCTGGGAGCCCCGGGGGAACCGAAAGGCCGGGGCTTGGCCGACTTACACTTCGTCTCAAGTACAACGTTCGACTAAGCGTAAGAGTGACCTTTCGCCGGAGTGACCTTTGGTGCGGGCGCAGATGGGTCCTCAGATGGCTGAAAACGAAACCGTAGCAGCGGCTCGCGCGCCCAGGTTTGGTCCCCCCGCGGCCCCCGCACCAAAGGTCACTCTTACCCAGGGTTGAGGTTGTCGGCCAGATCCGTCGATCTTCGGCGGCTTTCCAGCTTCGGGGTACTCTCCAGCAGCTGCGCCTCGCCGAGGAGCGTCCAGGGCTGCCCGGAGCGGCCCGAGCGGACGCCAGGGGGCCGAGCTGTGACCCGAAGGCCAAGGCGCAGACCACTAGGGTTGAGTCGGGCCTGTCCCTCTACAGGAGGGATATTTAAAAATAGTCCAAAATGTTATGGGGACGATGTTTTTGCATAATTGTTGATCATTGAGGAGTATGTTTTGAGTATCTTGTTATTTTTCTTCGACAATCCCCCTGTAGGGGGACACAACCGACTCAACACTGGGGGGGGACGGGCTCAATGTGGGACGTTGCGTCGGCCCTCGCTGGCCCACGGATCGCGGATCCAGGAGCCCGCCAGCTCACCCCGCCCGGGAGCGCGCGAATGAGTTATCGCTGTGGAAGGCGATTAAGGGAGAGGAAGCATGCTGCCAAAGACCTTCCAGATGTCTAAGAGATGCTTCAGATATGTTTTAAAAATGGTAAGAACATGTCTGAAACATGTTTAGAACATGTATTACACATGTTAAACACCTCTTTAATTCAATGATAGGACTGTTAGGGTGTCCATTGCCATGGCATCCACAATGCTACCGTCGACCAAACAACAAATGGCACCACCCCACCTGCGACACTCCATGCTGCGCCACGGCCCGGCGGGGGCCGCAGCGTACACCACGGAAAGAGCCGCGCCAGATGCCCTGGTGTACGCCAGGCCCCGTGGGTCCTTAGGCGGGGTGGTGTCGCTTGGTTTCTGGTCCGCATCGGGGGCCCAGGACGGATCTGCTTGCGATGCATCGACGATTCAAGCTCGATGGTCCCCCCGCCCCCTACGCCGATCCCCCCCCCGACGTTACGCCTCACCATGCCTCGCGCGGACAAAGAAAAAACCCGACGGAAGGGAGCTGTCTGGCCAACTTTTCTTTCTTTGGGCAGTCGCCGGGGTCCAGGACAGCGTCAGTCCTCATTTAAATCGCGAGGAATTCTCGAGCGATGCCGCGATACCCAAGTAAATCCCAAGGAAGCCCAGAGCGAAAGCGTGATTCCTGAATGTTAGGGGCGCGGCGATTCCATAAATCGCAAGGAAGTCCAACGCGAGAACGCAAATCCTGGATGAAGTGTAAAAAAATCCCGCGCGAGAGCGTGACTGTGAATAAGTTGTGAGGAAGTATCCAGCGGGAGCCGGTGTTGTTGTAAACTGGGGGGCCAGCAACACAGTCTGAGTTCCAAGCTTTTTGTTATTCTAAGCCAGGTGCGAGCCGGGAGGAACACTCTGACTGCAAGGCACAATGGGCACCAAGGAGGGGTGATAAACAGTGATTGTTTTTGAGGCATGAGAATTCAGCGCAACAGCAGTAACAACCACCACCACCACCACAACAACAACCGCAACAACGCCAACGTCATCATCATCATCATGTCAGGACAGCCAGCTCGAGGTAAGATGATTTAAATAGGTAGACCCTCGGCCACCAGCCGAGGACGCAGCAGGTTTTGACGCTCGTCGCAGCCCCCTGCTCGCGTGGCGCGCCCCAGACAGGCGAGATAGGGCAACCGTGCCCTGCGACGGGAATATTTCGAATGCAGTTCGCTCGCACACAATCCACAGACTCAAGCAATGTGGATCTTTTGTTTCCCGAAGTCGATGGATGAAAAAATCAGCATCATCGTCAGCATCATCATCATCATCAGCATCATCACCATCACCATCAACATCAACAACCACAGCAGCAACAGCAACAGCAGCAACGTAACAATGCAACAACAATCCGCGCCGCGGAACCCCTCACGCCCAGGGACAATGAATGACCGCGCGGCCCCCTCACTCATGCATCGTGCACGTACAGAGAGAAGAAGAAGGAGAAGAAGAAAATCAAGACATGTGTATAAAAATTGGCCGAGAGAGAGAGAGACAAACAAAAAAAGAGAGAGGGAGAGAGAGAGAGAGAGAGCAAAAAAAGCAAACAACCAAATCTCTTCGCGAAGGACCCAACCATGTGCAACTGCGAGTGCCGCAGGGCAGGCGGAAAGAACGAGGGGGGACTCCCCATGGGGCCGCGAACCGCGTGAGGGGTGCGAACTGCGTGAACGGTGTGTCAACATCGGGCGGGTACCACATGCGGGCTACGGGGGAGTCGCATGCGATGACGGCCGCTGAGGCCTTCGTTGGCGTTCTTGTATGGGGCCACGGAACATGCGAGGGGGCGTGTCGAGACGAACGAAAGGGGCGCGCGCTCCGTGGACAGCCGCAGGGGCCTTCGGTGGAGCTCCCTGGGGGGGGTGGGCACGAGACGCGTGCGGGGTGTGCCGACATGGGCCGCGGGGACGCATGCGGGCTGCGCCATTGGGACTTGCGGTGAAGCTCCCTCGAAATGTGCGTGGGTGTGCCGTTGTGGGCGGCGGGGACGCGTGCGGGCTGCGCCACTGTGACCTTCTGTGGAGCCCCCATATGGGCCCATGAAACGTGAGAGCGTGTGTCGAAAAGGGTGGCGGGGACGCACGCGGGCTGCGCCACTGGAACTTTCGGTGGAGTTCCCTATGGGCCCACGAAACGTGAGAGCGTTTGTCGAAAAGGGTGGCGGGGACGCACGCGGGCTGCGCCACTGGAACCTTCGGTGGAGTTCCCTATGGGCCCACGAAACGTGAGAGGGTGTGCCGACATGTGTGGAAGGGACGCATGCGGGATGCGCCATTGGACCTTCGCAGGAGCTCCTTGTGGTAATGGTGTTGATGATGTTGGTAATGAGAATGATGATGGTGATGATGATGGTGATGGTGATGGTGATGGCGATGATGGTGGTGATGATGACGATGTCTACGGTGTCGATGCTGACGAGTATGATGATGTTGATGCTGATGGTGGCGAGTATGATGATGGTGATGGTGGTGTGGTGATGATTATGGTGGGAATGGTGATAATGATGGTGATTATGGTGATGGTGATGATGATGACGATGGTGATGGTGATGGTAATGATGGTGCTGATGCTGATGCTGATGGTGATGGTGATGAAGATGGCGTCTGTGATGATGATGGAGATGCTGACGATGATGACGATGATGGTAATGATGATCGTGATGATTATGATGATGATGATAATGATGATGATGGTGGTGGTGATGATGGTGATGATCGGAGGAGGGGAGAGGATGAGGAGGAGGAGAATCGCTGGGACTGTCTCTGCAAAAGGAGGACTCAAGACCGCAGGATGGCCGGGGGAATTCACATTTAATACAATAGAGGTACTCCTCTCTTACACACACACACAAACACACACACACACACATACACACATACACAGACACACACACACACACATATATACACACACACGGGGGGTAACGACGAATATGAGACAGAGAGAGAGAGAGAATCCCCCCCCAACAAAAAAACGAAAGAGAGAGAGAGAGAGGGAGAAGGACAAAATGAAAACGACACAAGAAAAGACTGCCTATAAGGATCCCCCCCGTCTTCCTGGCAAAAGGCACAACCATCGAACATTCTTCGAATATTTCGAATTGTGAAATATCCTACCTTCCGCTTCTTGGTGCCATCCCTCTCTGGTTGAGACCATTATACTTGCGGGTCCTCCTCCCCCTTCTCACATTCCCCTCTCTGTCCTTTCCCACCTCCTCCTCCTCCTCCTCCTCCGCCTCCTCCTCCTTCTCCTCCTCTTTGCAAGTCCCTCGGAACCCCCCCGAGAGGAGTGGCTGAAGCAGCGCGGGTGCTACGAGAAGCTGGGGCCGGGGGCCGTGACCTGGCGGGAGGGGCAGACCATCGCCGCGTCCCAGAGCGTGGTGCCTTTCCCTTGGTCTGCGGCGGAGAGGAAAGCAGACACCACCACCGGACACCAGGCCTCCCCGCACCTCTTCGGGTTGCGACAAAAAATCGCGACGGAAGGTTTATGGTAGTTTTCGGTTTCTGTGGGGGGCCCTTGCCGAGCCTCTGGACAGTCAAAAGATTTGTTCGGGATGGTGGACCGGTCTGGGGCAAAAAAAGGCCAGATCTTCGGGGGTCCACATGGTGAAAGCAGCACGGCGTCGGAGGTCTGGGTCCACCCCTGCTCCCCCTCCGCCCTCCTCTTCCTTCTCGTTCCTCCTCCTCGTCCTCCTCCTCCTCCTCCTTCTCCTCGTCCCCTCCTCCGCGCTCCTCCCCCCACTCCTCCTCCCAAGTCGCCCCCTCCTCGTCCTGCTCCTGGTCCTGATCCTGCTGCTAACCCTCCTCCCTCCTCTTCCTTCTCGTTCCTCGTGGCTGGCCTTCGAGGGCCCTCCTCGTCCGAAACTGGGCGCAACTCCAGACACCGGCCAGGACGGGCCCTTTCTTGGGACCCGTCTTGAACGAGTTCGCCTCGGATCTCCAGCGGTTTGAACGAGTTCGCCCCGGATAGGACGGAGGCTGGTCGCAGTTGTTCCGCCTCCAGGAATTTGCTTTCGCGCTCCCAGGCCGTCCACGAGAGCACCCAGGCCGCACCCCCAGAGAGGGTTCGGGAGGTCCGAGGGCGGGGAGTGGGCGGGCCAGGTGACAAAAAAACACGACGTCGCAGGGTTGGGACGAGGCCCTTCTGGGCCAGACCGTCGGGGCGCTGAAGAAGGAGCCCTTCTCGTTGGGGAGGGGCTCGGTGTCCCTTGATTGTTCCACAGCTTGCCTCAGGTGTTCCTGAGGTCTTCCAGAGGGAGTCGAAGCTTGACTCCTTGGGAAAAGGGGGCCTCGTTCCTGATGAAGGGTTCCTCGGGTCAACGCCCCGACTGTACCGCAAAACGAAGTGGAGGAGGAGGAGGAGGAGGAGGAGGAGGAGGAGAAGGAGGAGGAGGAGGAGGAGGGGGAGGAGGAGGAGGAGGAGAGGAGGAGGAGGAGGGAGGGGGAGGAGAAGGAGGAGGAGGAGGAGGGGGAGGAGGAGGCAAGGCCGTGGCGTAAACACAAGAGCGCAACCTCCAGGCCTGGCCCCTGGGAGCCGGGCACGCACCCGAGGAGGCAGGCCTGCCGGCCCCCGAGAGGCGGGGCGCGCGGCGGAGGCCCGGTGGCGGCTCCGCGTAGCCCTGAGCTTCCGGGAGGGCTGGGAAGTGACCACCCGAACTCTTGGACGTGGATCCCTGTCGAGGTTTTGTTTGTAGTCCTGCTATATACAAAAGTGTGTATCTATATACATACATACATACATACATACATACATACATACATGCATGCATGCATGCATGCATACATACATACATACATACATATAGACATACATACCTACGTACATGCATACATGCATACATGCATTCATACATACGTACGGACGGGCAGACAGACAGACAGGCAGGCAGGCAGGCAGGCAGACAGGCAGACATATAGACGTACAGACAGACAGACATGCATGCATTCATACGTAAATATACATGTCTCTATACATGTACATAGACACATACATAAAAAGAGGTAAAGATACACATATTCATATATATATATACATACATACATACATACATACATACATACATACACATATAACAATACACATAGACCCCTAAACAGTGCTTGCACGAAGGGGTTCTTATTTATGGTCCAAGGAACTGGGCCTGGCTGGCGGTCTGGCGGCTCCGTGCTCGCCGTCACCGCCTCGTCGCCGCCCGTCGTCTGGGCCTGGCTGGCGGTCTGGCGGCTCCGTGCTCGCCATCGCTGCCTGGTCGCTGCCCCGTCGCCGCCTAGATTTTTTCTTAAAGAGAGAATAGACTCTACCCCCCCCGGCGTTATCCGTACCCCTTTCGGGAATGTAAATCGTATATGATTCTGACCACATGTCCTTCCTAAGTATGAATTTACACTATCCCAGGAGGGCCAGTATCGACCCCCCTGAGGTTCCTTGGTAAAAAAACGATACGCGGGGACATCTTTTGTTCTAACATAAGACTTTTTCACGAATCGCTTGAAAAATTGGACGAAGTGCACACGCACGCGTCGTAGCGCGCGCATGCCGAAATACTTCAAAAACCTTCAGTGTCGAAAGGATTTCGCAATCGAGTTTCCAAAAAACATACAAAAACACAGGGTTTCGCAACACTGAGTTGCTAAAAAAGCTTACGCGCGAGCTTTTGCGAAATCTTCAGAAAACCATATTTTTTACAAATGTTCATAAAAAATCTAACAAACGGGCTTCGCGCGCGCGCATGTCGAAATCTGTCGAACGCCCTTGCGCGTGTGCCGTCGCGAGAATCCTCTGCAAAAAACGGGGCGAAGTGCAGACGCGCGCGCCGTCGCGCGCGTATGCCGAAATCCTTCAAACCCATCGGCTTCGGAAGGATTTCAAAATCGTGTGTCCAACAAACCTACAAAAACACAAGGTTTCGCAACACGGATGTTCAGCAAAAGCGTGTTCGCGCGATCTTGCGTCGTCGTCGTCGTCGTCGCCGTCCTCCCTCCTCCCGCGTCGTCGTCGTCGTCGCCTACGTCGTCCTCTGTCTTTCCTCGTGTTCGTCGTCGTCGTCCTCTTTGGCGTCGTGGTCGTTTCCGTCGTCGTTGTCGCCGTGGTCGTCCTTCCTCCTCCTCCTCCCTCGTCGTCGTCGTCGTCCGTCTCTCCTATTTCGTCGCCGTCGTCGTCATTTTCGTCGTCGTCTTCCCTCGTCCCTCGTCGTTGTCGTCGTCGGCGTCGCCGTCCTCCCTCCTTCTTCGTCGTTCGCGTCGTCGCCGTCCTCCCTCCTCCCTCGTCGTCGTCGTCGTCGCCGTCGTCGTCCTCCCTCCTCCCTCGTCGTCGTCGTCTTCGTTGGCGGCGTCGTTGTCGTCGTCGTCGTCGTTGTCTTCGTCGTCGTCGGCGTCGGCGTCGTCGTCGTCGGCGCCGTCGTCGTCGTCGTCGGCGGTGTCATCGTCGTCGTCGTCGGCGTTGTCATCGTCGTCGTCGTCGTCGTCGAAGTCGTTGGAGACATCGTCGGTGTCGTCGTAGTCGGTGTCGACGGCACCGTCGCCGTCGTTGTCGCTGTCGTCGTCGGCGTCGGTGTCGTGGCCAAGTGCCATGCGGTACCTACCGTCACGGTCTTGTCCTAAGAGGTCTAGCGACCAAGTTGCGGGTGGGAGGGTGGGATGTTTGCACGAGCAGTGGAGAGGACAGCTTCAAGACGGTCAAAGTGGATTGCACCACATAGACTGCACCACGTCGATTCTCCTTTCTAAAAGAAGAATAGACTCTACGTCCCCCCCAGAGTGAACGGATCGCCTTTTCGTATTGCAATTTACATGTGATTCTGCCCCATCGTCCATCCGAAATATGAGTTCATACTATCCCAGCCAGGCCGGTATCACTCCCCCCCGCCATCCTCTGGAAAAAGTACTGTGCGCGCACTCTCGTTTATCAAGAACCATAAGTTTTCAAGAATCCCTTGTAAAAAACTGGACGAAGTGCACACGCGCGCGTCGTCGCGCACGCATGCCGAAATCCTTCAAAAAGCTGTGGTTTCGGAAGGGTTCCAAAATCGAGTTTCAAAAAAAACATACAACATCGCCGGGTTTCGCAACACTGATTTCCTAGAAAAAATTACGCGCGCGCGCCCTTGCGAAATCTTATGAAAGCCATCGGTTTTTCAAGATTTTCTAAAATACTATCAAAAGTTCTGTCGAACGCCCTTGCGCGCGTGCCGTCGCGAGAATCCTCTGCAAAAAACGGGACTTAGTGAGCACGCGCGCGTCGTCGCGCGCGCATGCCGAAATACTTCTAAAACCTTCGTTTTCGAAAGGATTTCAAAATCGAGTGTCCAAAAAACATACAAAAACACAAAGCGTGCGCGCGCGTTCTTGCGCGCAACACAGAGTTTCAACAAAAGCGTGCGCGCGCGCGTTCTTGCGTCGTCGTCGTCGTCGTCGCCGTCCTCCATCCTCCCTCGTCGTCGTCGTCGCCGTCGTCGTCCTCTGTCTTCCCTTGTCGTCGTCGTCGTCTTGGCGTCGTCGTCGTTTCCGTCGTCGTTGTCGCCGTGGTCGTCCTTCCTCCCTCGTCGTCTTCGTCAGCGTTTCGTCGTTGTCCTTCCTATTTCGTCGCCGTCGTCGTCGTCGTCTTCCCTCCTCCCTCGTCGTTGTCGTCGTCGGCGTCGCCGTCCTCCCTCTTTCGTGGTCGTTCGCGTCGTCGCCGTCCTCCCTCCTCCCTCGTCGTTGTCGTCGTTGCCGCCGTCGTCGTCCTCCCTCCTCCCTCGTCGTCGTCTTCGTTGGCGTCGTCGTTGTCGTTGTCGTCGTCGTCTTCGTCGTCGTCTTCGTCGTCGTCGTCGGCGTCGTCGGCGTCGGCGTCGTCGGCGGCGTCGTCGTCGTCGGCGTCGTCGTCGTCGGCGGCGTCGGCGTCGTCGCCGTCGTCGCTGTCGTCGTCGTCGTTGTCATCGTCGTCGAAGTCGTTGGAGACGTCGTCGTAGTCGTTGTCGGCGGCGTCGTCGTCGTTGTCGCTGTCGTCGTCGGCGTCGCTGTCGCTGCCAAGTGCCAGTTGGTACCCACCGTCACTGTCTTAAGAGGTCTTGCGACCAAGTTGCGGGTGGGAGGGTGGGATGTTTGCACGAGCAGTGGAGAGGACAGCTTCAAGTTGAGCAAGTGATTGATTGCACCACATATGCTGCACCACGTCGATTGTACCGCATAGATTGCAGCACCACACATCCAACTGCCTGCGGCAAATCCCGCCACCGTGCCAGCCCAAGATGGTTCGAGGGGGCCCAGGAGGCCGTGACACCTTGTTGTCTCTGGGTTTGGGAGAGCCGTGATGAGGATGATGAGGATTATGAGGATGATGGGGTGATGACGATGATGATGTTGATGATGATGATGGTGATGATGATGATGACGATGAAGATGATAAAGAAGATGATCATGATGATGGTGATGATGATGAAGATGACCATAAGAATGATGATGATGGTGTTGGTGATGGTGCTATTTTTATGGTGATGATGATGATGGTGGTGATGATGACGATGATGATGATGATGGTGGTGACTGTGATGCTGATGCTGATGCTGATGGTGGTAGTGGTGGTGATGATGATGATGGTGATGATGGTGAGTGTGATGGTTATGATGACGATGATGACGATTATGATGATGACGATGATGATGATGATGATGGTGATGCTGATGATGCTGATGATGGTGGTGCTGGCGATGATGACGACGACGGCGACGATGTTGAAGATGATGATGGTGATGATGATGATTTTGGTGGTTGTGATGGTAATGGTAATGGTAATGGTGATGGTGATGGTAATGGTAATGGTGTTGGTGGTGGCGGTGTTGGTGATGATGAAGATGATGACGACGACGACTACGACGGCGACGACGATGGCGATGATGGTGATGGTGATGCTGATGGTGATGCTGATGGTGATGGTGATGGTGATGGTGATGGTGATGACGATGATGGTGATAATGATGATGATGGTGATGGTGATGATGATCATGATGATAATGCTGATGATAATGGTGGTGGCGATGATGATGGTGATGATGCTCATGCTGATGATGATGATGCTGACGATGCTGATGGTGATGATGATGATGATGGTGATGATGATGATGACGATGATGATGATGAAAATGAAGATGAATATGAAGATGAAGATGAAGATGACGACGAAGAAACTAGTTTGGACCGTCTTGGGGCAGTCTTCGGAGTTCCTGGAGGCCCTCTTGGCCCGTCATGGGGCCCGGATACGCTGGCTTAGCGCTCTGTTGAGCCGTCTTGGAGCCCTCTTGGCCGTATGCTGGGTGTCGGGGGGTCGTCGTGGGGCCGTCTTGGGTCCCACGGGAGGTCCTCTTGGGCCGTCCTAGGGCCGTCTTGGATGCCTCATGGGCCATCGTGGAGTCCTCTTGGGCCGTCTTGAGCTGACGGCAACCCGACAAGGCGAGAATGCGAAGACCATCTATTACGCTACCGAGGAACCTCACATACCCATTTTCACTCTTGCGTGGTGGTTCTGTGTTGCAGCGATGTCTTGCAATCTATGCCGTGCAATTTTTGTGGTGCAATCAAGGTGGTACAATCTAGGTGGTACAATCCATGTGGTGCGATCCATGTGGTGCGAAGCAACGGAAAGTTACACTGAACAATGCGAAGCAATACAACGCAGTGCGAAGCAATACAATGCAACACAAGTTAATGCGAACCAGTGACGGGTGACGCAAAGCAACGCAAAGCAATGCAACACAATGCAAAGCAACGCGGCGACAGGCGGCGACGAGCCGGTCGGCCCGCTAATGGGGCCCAGTGGCGACGGCGGCGACGGGCGTCGACGAGCAGGCCGGACCGCCGTTGGGGCCCGTTACCTCAGAACACAAGTAAGAACCCCTAAGTGTAATCATTGTGTGGGCAATTCGTATGTACATTATATCTGTACATATGTATATATACATACATACATACATACATACATACATACATACATACATACGTATGTACATACACACATACATATATACGTACATATACATATACATAGACACATGCATATGTATACATACATATACATATACATATACATATACATATACATATACATATACACACACATACATATACATATACATATACATATATACATGTATACCTATATACATATATACATATATAGATACATACATATACGTATACATATACATATATAGAGGTTGATGAGTCTGGAGGTGTGTTTTCATGATCCTCCGTACGGGGGTATTATTTTTAGTATTCGTACCACTATTGTTAGTGTGTCATGCATCCACCTTCATCCGTCCTCCTGCTCGCCTTCGTCCGTCTCGCCCCCACTCGGACTCACTCACACTCAGACTCAGACTCGCTCATATTCAGACCCCTTCACGTTGAGACCCACGCTCAGACTCACTCACACTCAGACTAACTCCGACTCAGACTCACGCACAGACTCAGACTCACTCACTTTCAGACTCATCCACACTCAGGTCCACTCACACTCAGACCCAATCCTACGTAGAGTCGCTCATACACAAACCACCCACACTCAGATACAGTCACAGTCACAGGCCGTCTGCTTCAGCACCCCAAGGGGTGGCCGCCACGTGGTGTTACACGGGCCCGTGCGCGGCCAGACTGCGGGGATGTCTTAGCCTTATGTCAGGCCCGTCCCTCTACAGGAGAAACATTCAAAAATAGTCCAAAAATAGTCTGGGGACGATTCTTTGAGCATTGTTTAACTATTTGGGGGTATTTCTAATTTTTCGTCCAAAACCCGCCTGTAGGGGGACAGGCCCGCCCTAACCTTAGCCGGTTTTGCTCATTTCGTGATTGGGGTTCCTTTGATTTCAGAGCAGATCGCAAAGGTGCCCTGAAGGAGTCGCCTGGTTTGGCACCCCAAGGGGGAGCCGCCAGGGGGTTGTTGCACTCGCCCGTGCGCGGCCACATTGTGGAGATGTCTCGGGCGGGGCGTGCTCGTTTCGTGGCTGGGACGCGTCTGCTTTCAGAGCAGGTCTTGAGACCGTCCCGAGCGAGGCGCGTGCTTTAGCACCCCAAGGGGGCTCCGCCAGGGGGTGTCACTCTCGCCCGTCAGAGGGGGGGTGCTGCACGGGCCTGTTCGCGGCCAAGCTGTCGGCATGCCTCGAGCGGGGCGCTCGCTGCGTGGCTGGGGCTCCCTTCTGCTTTCGGAGCAAGGCCTCAGGGTTTGGGCACCCCCGACCCCTCCTCCCCTCGGAGCCCCAAGCTCATCCGCAGCAGGCACAGCCCTTGAGCGCTCCAGGAGGAGCCGCCAGGGACGTTGCTCGGCCGCCGCAGGCTACGATTCACCCATCCGGACACTCAGAGACGGAAGGGCCAGGAATGGAGATCCACATATATGGGGATCTCCGCGTCGCAGGCAAGCAGGCACGCACAAGTCCGATCGAGCGCCCCAGGGCGTCTCGTCCCGCCTGCGGGAGCGGCGTGATACATGCACAAAAGAAGAGCGCGTGCAGCGGAGCAATGCAAATCATGGACACACCCCTCGTGGATTGCTACACACAGCCTCGAATGCAGGCAAATACTGACAGAGAAAATCCTGCACCAGCCTGCCGGGAGAGTCCTGCAAAATCCGCTCCAATCCGCGTCCAATAATGTAGTATTTCGTTCGTTGCCCGTTTCCCCCAGGTTCTCGCCCATGTATCCGTTGAGGAACCCGGAGCTGTGCGACATCAGGGAGATCGTGGGCGGGAAACCCACACCCATATGTCCGAGGATCTGATTTTGTCAATCCCGGCGTTTTCTCTTCGATCTCGGTCTCCGGAACTCGTTCTCGGGCCCCGGGGCCATCAGACTTGGACCCGGGGCGAAAATTTTCGATAAGAGTGACCTTTCGCCGGAGTGACCTTTGGTGCGGGCACAGATGGGTCCCCAGATGGCTGGAAACGAAGCAGGAGCAGCGGCTTGCGCGCCCAGGTTTGGTCCCCCGCGGCCCCCAAAAAAAGCCGCGCACGAAAGGTCACTCTTATCGGGCGCAGAAAACTATGCACATGTACCGATCCTGACAACGCCCATCCTTGACCCAGGATCGGTGCATATGCCTTCCTGGCCAAGGCAGGAGGGCGTATGCACCGATCCTGGGCTCGGGATGGTCCTGGCCAGAATCGGTGTATGTGCATAGTTCTCGTTCCTCTATCTTGCCCAGGGTCACTCCTGCCTGTAGCCGAAATTCGTCTTCGAGGCGGGGGTCGGGGGACCCCTGGGGACGCGGAGCGGAAAGCCACGCCGCGTCTCGCCCAGAAGAGGTGCTCGCCCAGAGGAGGAGGAGGAGGAGGAGGAGGAGGAGGAGGAGGAGGAGGAGGGGGAGGAGGAGGAGGAGGAGGGGGAGGAGGAGGAGAGGAGGAGGAGGAGGAGGAGGAGGAGGAGGAGGAGGAGGATGTCTGGGAGGGAGTACTCCAGAGGAGGGCCGCGTCTCGCCCAGCGCCGCCTCGAGGCGCCGCGCGGCCTCCTCGAGGTCGTCGTCGTCGTCGCCGTCGTCGTCGTCGTCGTCCGTCGTCCGTCGTCCGTCGTCCGTCGTCCGTCGTCCGTCGTCGTCGTCGTCGTCGTCGTCGTCGTCGTCGTCCGTCGTCGTCGTCGTCGTCGACGTCGTCGGCGCAAGCAGGCGGAGGCCCGCGGGAGCAGAACGGGGGGCGGCTCCGCCAGGGGAAGGCAGCCGAGGCTCGGCGGAACGAGAAGCCCCTCCTCCTCCTCCTCCTCCTCCTCCTCCTCCTCCTCCTCCTCCTCCTCCTGCCAGGGAATGCGGCGGACACGGAATGCGGCGGAAGGACAAACGAGAAGTCAAGAGCTGCGGATTCAGGGCTGCTGTCGGCGGCGAGCGGGGGGGGGGGGAAGCGAGAAGGAGAGGCCCTCTCAGCAGGTGGCGGAGCTTCTCGGGAGCCCTCGGGCCTTCCGAGAAGTCGACTGCGTCTCCGGGGAAGGCCAGGAGAAGTTCTCGGAAGACCGGGGGACTTAGGAGCCTTCTGCGAAGGCCCGCCCCTTCTCACTTCGCCCCCGGGCTCGCCGCCGATTCTGGAGTCGGCCATAGCCATGTGCAGCGCCTGGCGGTCCAGACTCCTCGGCAGGCGCACCCTTCGGATCCAGGGCGGCCTCCCGAGGGCGCCCCACGCGGAGCGCATCCATGGGGTCGTGTGCCCCATGGGATCGCGCCTCGGTGCCCGCGCCCGCGTACTGCACGGGCAGGGATACGGCTATGTTCGCGGAAATCCACTCCAGATCTATCCACTCCCGCTGCGCCTGACCTCGTTTCTGCACCGCTGTTCGGCCATGCGGCGTGGGCCATGGTGCCGCGGTGGTCGGGTTGGAGATGCTCGAGGCGTTGACGCTCGGGGACTCGGGAGCGTCTTCGAGAGGAGCAGCGGGCATCAGGCTTGCTTAGCGCTGTCCTGTGAAGGGGCAACTTGTAGTGGCAGTGCGAATCCTTTCACTGTGCTGGCTGAGGCGCGGTGACACATGATGGGGCTGTGTTCCAATGTGTATATATATGCATATAAAAATGTCCTTTGGGGCCAGTCTCACCCCAGATATACTTCTGACGGCCCCAGCGCCCGCAAATGGACTCCAGATGCCGCAAAGCAAGAACAGCAATGCGTCCTCTATGGCTGCTCCTCGCTGTGTTGGGCCGCTCGCGAGGAGAACGGAGCACAGCTCGACGCCACCGCCGAGGACATCCGGGAGGCCACCGCCTGGCTCCACGAGCACGTGGCCGTCTACGTCCTGAACCTGCCGGCGGACACGCTGCGCCTCGCGGCCATCTCCGCCCGCCTGGACGAGCTGAACATCACGTTCCGCCGCGTGGCCGGGGTTGACCTGACCACCCCCGAGAAGATGGAGAGGCTCCTCCGCCTCCTCCTCCTCCTCCTCCTCCTCCTCCTCCCCCTCCTCCTCCTCCTCCTCCTCCTGCTCCTCCTCCTCCTCCTGCTCCTCCTCCTCCTGGTCCTCCTCCTGGTCCTCCGCCTCCTCCTCCTCCTCCTCCTGGTCCTCCGCCTCCTCCTCCCGGTCCTCCCTTCCTCCTCTTCCGCTTCCTCCTCAGGTGGGGCCCAGGCCCCCCTGCGCGGAGGCGCGCAGGTGAGCTCCCCGAACCCTCGGCTGTCGCCGAGGGTTCGGGGAGCTTTATACTCGTCCTCGTCAGAGCCATCCCAGCCCCTGCCTGGAGAGGGCACAGTCGAGGCGCGGACATCGGGGCCACTCTGGGCCCACGAGAGGCTCCGTTTGTCGGGCCGTTCCTCAGAGCTGGGTCGGGTAGCCTGTTCGTGGCCGGAGCTCGCCGCGGCCAGGCAGGCCCCTCCGTTCCTTCTTCTGCGCTCCTTCTGTTGGCACGCTGTCTGTACAGGGTGGCTCTCCCAGCATGCCCCCACTGCGGTGGGCGCGATGGTTAAGGAATGTGCCCAGGAGGCCTCAGACGCTGGAGGCGTCCTCAAGTGATGAGGGCGGCTGTGGCATCCGTGGCCAAGCCTCGATTGGCGCTCCACTGGCTCTCAGACATTGGATTCCTTACCTGAGGGCATTGGATGAGGACCTCATCCAGTGCCCCACCGCAGGTTGGGGTGGGTGCTGCGAGAGGCCGAAGGCGGCGGCACGCACTCACACCCAGGGGGCAGGTCGGCCAGCGAGGCTCCGAATCCCCTGGCGAGGGTGGGGATCGGTCCTGCCTGTCCAGAGTTGCGTCCTTGGCCTGGACCTCCCAAATGGGGCCCGAGGATCGCGCCGCACCGCCGACGCATCGGCGATGCGGCTCGACGTGGAGCCCGAGTCTCTCCACGCCAGCGTCGCAGACGTGTCGCTGGCGTCGCCGACGCAGTGCTCCGACCCCATCCGCTCGGACCCCATCTGGGAGGCCTCTGCTTGGGTCGCGCTGAAGGGGCATTCTGCAGCGGCTGCCGCGCTGTGAAACTGCGGGCCGCGCCCGAGGAGGTGGACGTGCGGGGGCGCTCCGGCAAAGGCTCCGCCCCGCGAGGCATCGGGCAGCTGCGTTCTCTTCCTCGGCGAGGGGCGAGCGGAAGGCGAGCGGACGGACAGCGAGGGCGGCTCCGGTGGCGAAAATGTCAGCCACGCGCAGACGGGGGTGGGGGGAGGGGGGAGGGCTTTTTCAAAGCATCCCTGCTTCACAGAAGGCGCGGGCCATATCTATAGATGTAAGGCCCGCGCCTTCTAAGAAGCAGCCTCCTTCTAAGAAGCCCTACCCCCTCCCTCCACCCCCTGGCGCGCGCCGCCAAAAATTGGCAGAGGCAAAGACGCCCCCAAGATATTCGAAGGCGGCGACAGGGGCGAATAGCCCAGGGGAGGGCATTGCACGCATTCGCCCGGGAGCCTCGCCGAAGGCATGGGCCATCGGCGCCCCTCGCCTGGACGAGTCGCCCCCATCGTCGCCCCCGAGAGATGCAAACGGTTTCGAAATCGGGGCTTCCAGGGCGTGCCGGGTGAGCAGGCCTTCCTCCGCCTCGCTTCTCCGCCTCACGATCGCCTTTTTTTTCTCCTCCTCCCCGGTCCGCCTCCCTCGCCCCGCATCGGCCCGCCTCCTCCTGGGGCGCCGGCTCACCTTCCCCCCCGTCTTCCGCGTCGCCGTGCCCTGGTCCGCCTCGTTGCCTCGCGTCTCAGACGAACGGCGCGTACGTCTTTCAAATCGTCGGATGTCCTCGCGCACTTCTCGGATCGGCGCCGGGCCCCCCCCGCGGCGACGCCCCGCTGGCACGCTCCGCGCGCCATGCAGGCAGGCCCCACTGCCGACCCACGCGAGGTCCGCCCAGACCTCCGAAAGCGTGCGCTTTTGCCGACGTTCCTTCGTCTGTCGTATGTCCGCCGCGTTCCCCTCGTCGTCGTCGTCCTCGTTATCGTCGTGTTCGTCGTCGTCGTCGTCGTCGTCGTCGTCGTCGAGGTCGAGGTCGAGGTCGAGGTCGAGGTCGAGGTCGTCGTCGTCGAGGTCGTGCTCCTGCCGATGTTCCTCCACGGTCTCGCCGAGGTCTCTCTCCGCCTCTTGCGTGATCCTTGCTCGATCTCGAGCGCCATTGGGCAGGAGGCCTGCGCTTTTCCAGAGCGCGGCTTGGTTCAAAGTCATGTCTTCTTGTTTTTCCCCTCCTGCTCCTCCACCCCCTCCTCCTCCGCCTCCTCCTCCTTAACAACAACAACATTCTCCATATCATCCTCCCCCTCCTTCTCCTCTTCCTCATGCTCCTCCTCCTCTTCCTCCTCTTCCTCCTCCTGCTCCTCCTCCTCCTCCTCGTATTTTTCCTCATCCTCCCCCCCTTCCCTCCCAAGAACTCCGACGTCGTGACTTGATGGCGGCGCGGACCCCCCGAGGTCTCGATGCCCTCCTCCGGGACTTGCTGCTCCTCCGAGCCGCTGCCCTGCGCTTCTGCAGCCCGGTCGGATCCCCTAGAATTCAAAAAAATACCAACTGACCCAGCCGCCGGGCCGCCCCGCCCGCCGCAGCAGGCGCCAGCGCCTCTGGCGTCGAGGGGCATAGTAGCAGCAGCCCTCGGGCACTGCAGAGTGCTCGTCGGCACCACGCTGTGCTCGCGACCACGACGCCGGAAGTCGGAAATTGGAGCATGTACATTACCAGTGGCTGGCTGTTCTTCAATCCCAGGACTTTTTCGAGGATCGAGGACGACGCCGGAGTAATGTGGCGTATACTTTTTTCCCCGATGTCCCGCGGAAACAACGAAAAGTGTATACACCAGGGTCCCGTATGCACCAGAATCCGCTCTCCAGTGCAATCTCCAGTGCAGGGCCGGAAGAAGCGTCGGTGTATAGAGTTCGATTCCCTAGGAAGGTCCAGGTCCGCCCTGCCTGGGCAGGTCCCAGGGCCTCCCCGGCCCTCCCGAGGGGGGGGGGAGGGGGGGGGGGAGGGGGAGGGGCGCTCACCGTGCAGCAACGCGGCAGCCTTGCCAGAGGAAGTGGCCCCTTCCTTCTCCATCTCGTCTCCGCCCTCCTTGCTTTCGCGTTCTCTCTCCCTCTCTCTCTCTCTCTCTTTCTCTCTCTTTCTCTCTCTATCTTTCTCTCTCTCTCTTTCTCTCATTCTGTCTCTCTCTCTCTCTCTCTCTGTTCTCTCTCTCTCTCTCTCTTTTTTCTCTCTATCTCTCTCTCTCTCTCTCTCTCTCTATGTGTATATATATAGATATACCTATATATATATATGTGTGTGTGAGTGTATCGCTTGTGCACGCGTGCAAGAGCCTAAGTCATCCCGTTGCGGTGCGCGCACTTCGGCAGTGTGAGCCAGAGCGCCTGACGACGCCCAGCCACGATCAGCCGACAAAGAGTAATCGGAAGCGGCGGCACGACGAAAGCAGCAGACCCTGACGATGGAGGAGACAGTAGGTACATCAAAGAAGAAGTCGGCCTGCTGGCAGGTGCCTCGCGGAAGGCCCTTGTCCCCCGAACAAGTTCTCATGCTATGTGGTGAGAGCAGCACCTCTTCCTCACCTCTTCCTCACCCCCCGCGGAAGTCCCCCTCTTCCTCACCCCCCCCTCGAACAGCCGCCAGGGCCAAGGACTCCAGCATGGTGCCCCCCGGCTTCAACTTCACCCGCGCCCAGGCCGTGGCCGACCAGCCATTCCACGGCGCGCGGGGCCCGGCGGGGCCACCCCCGATGCGAGCGAGCCGGCCGCGGTGCCGATGTTCAAGTCGCGATGCCGATGCTTCGCCTCGGCTTCACCTCCGTCGTCTCGATGATGATCATCATCATCATCAGCAGCAGCATCATCGTCATCATCATCAGCATCATCATCGTCGTCGTGAACATCATCAGCAGCATCATTATCAACATCAGCATCATCATCGTCATCAGCATCATCACCATCAACAGCATCATCATCGTCATTATCATTAACAACAACGGGCGGCAACGGGGCGCTACCTCGTCGGAACCACCAAGCACGCGAGGCGGCAACGAGGCAGCAACGGGCGGCAACGTTGCGAAACCTCGTCGGACCCACCCTGCGTACGAAGCGGCAACGGGCGACAAAGTAGCGAAAAATCGCCGAACCCACACGAGGCGGCACGAATGAGGCAAAGAGCAGCAACGTGACGAAACCTCGCCAGACCCACCCAGCGCACGAGGCGGCAACCAGGCGGCACCGGGCGGCTACGTGGCGAAACCTCGCCCGAGTCTTCCAGCGCACGAGGCGGCAACCAGGCGACAACTGCGGCAACGTGGCGAAACCTCGCCGCACCCATCTGAGGGGGAAACGAGAAAGGCACCGTAAGTGCAAGCACTGCTTGGGGAAAATTACATAAACACAAACTTTCGGAGGTCCGCGCAGGCTTCTTGGATCGACGTTGGGCCCCTCATAGTGGCGCCTCTGGCGCCGCACTTGGCGGACTTCGCGCGACAGGGAAGGAGTTCTAGCAACGACGCAAGAGATCCGCGTGGACCTCTGAAAGTGTATGTCAATGCCGTTCCTTGTTCCTCAAAGAGTGGTAGACCTGAGTCTCCCCTGGGAAGAGGAACGACGCAATGCCAGCAACTCTCATTCCAACCCATGTAATATTCAGCATGTTCTCGTCTCCCACCCGCTGGCTGAAAGTGCCTGGAGAGGCTGGGGACAGGGGAAGACGTTTTCATCGGTTCTAGGATGTTTCAAGGGGTTCTCGGAGGCTTCTCAGGGGTAGTTCAGACGTCGGTTCTTGGAAGTTTTCCTGCCCCAGGGTGCTTTCCAGCAGCTGCGCCTCGTCGAGAGCATTCCCCGGGTGCCCGAATCGTCCCGAACCACCGCCGAGGCCCGAGTTACTACCAGAAAGCCAGACCTCCGCGCGTTGCAACGCAAATAACGGCTAGAGATGTGTATCAGGGTTCAGCTTCCAGGGGGGGGCCGCTTTCGGGTGGCAGGACCTTGAGAAGACGATGCGGGGAGAAAACGGGACTCCAGGAAGGAGTCGAGACCAGCGGACCGCGTCTTGCAGAGAAGACGACGCCCGACGCCTTTGGGACCCCAAACCTCCGATGGCGGGGCCAGGGGGGGGGTTGAACTTCAACCCCCCCCCTGGCCCCGCCATCGGAGGGGAAGTCTCGTCGCGCGTGTTCACTGACATGCGTGCCGAACTATAGGTAATGTCAGAAGTGGACGTAGCGTGTTCCCACGCCACTTGGAACTTTGCCTAACAACTTGACGTAGCCTTTCGTCGACCACGAGACCACAACTGAACGCCTTCTAAAGTCGGGCTCGATCTCTGACCCCCAGCCACACTGAAGGTTGAAGAGGGGAAGGGAGGAGGGAGAAGGGGAGCGCGCTCGCTGCGCTTGCAGTTGGGGTTGCCCCCCTCGTGCGGGCGTGCAGGTCGACGGTGCCGAGCCGCGGGCAGCCCACCGCGTCTAGAGAATCATCGCATCGTCTCCCCCCTGTCCGCCGGGAGAGGCCCGCGAGGCCGCGCGGGCCTTCGGCGGCCAGCGAAAGCGAAAGGGAGGGAGGAGGGAGGAGGGAGGAGGGAGGACGGAGGAGGGAGGAGGGAGGAGGGAGGAGGGAGGAGGGGGGAGGGAGGAGGGAGGAGGGAGGAGAGAGGAGGGAGGAGGGAGGAGGGAGGAGGAGGGAGGAGGGGGCGGGAGGGGAGGGACGAGCACGCAAGAGGCCCGAACGCCGCGGGACCGAACGGTGGTGCGGTCCCGGCGTTTCTCCGCGGCCGCGGCCTCCAAGGGCCGCTCGCGGGCCCCCGGGGGCCACGAAGGGCGGGCCCGGGGGCAGCAGGTTGGCCCTGGGAGTTCCCTCCTCGTCTTCCTTCCACACCTCCTCCTCCTCCTCCTCCTCCTCCTCCTCCTCCTCCTCCTCCTCCTCCTCTCTCCTCCTCCTCCTCCTCTTCCTCCTCCTCCTCCTCCTCCTCCTCCTCCTCCAAGGTGGCGCAAGGTCTCTCTGCAGCGAGGCCACCTTTCCATATGTAACGCAGCATCACACACTTTGTTTACCGTATCTGCAGAAGTCACGGGCAGATCGGCCAAGACACAGCCGACGCGTGACCGTCCCATGTCATGCTGAGTATACTGCACTGGAATCCTTTGTCTTTTGTATCGGCCGACCGCCAGGAGGAGTTTGTGAAGTTGTCTGGCTCCAGCTTCCATGTGTGTGTTTTGGTTGGAACGCAGATTCGAGCAGCACACGGCGCAGTGGTGGAAAAACGTAAGGTGGCAGGCTCTACTTTGCTTCATGCAGGATGGTCTCGAGGAAGGTATACCAACAAGTCTGCAGGTATTACGATGTGCTTGAGCAGAGGCTTTCGTGAATCTCACGTAGTTAGGCAGTGGCATGCCGATGCAGAGTTAGCTGGGCGGGGACTCGGGGTACGTCTTAAGAGGAGGGGGATGGATATTGCGGTGTTCGGGCTTTACTTTCCACCTCGGCCACGAGGGGTGCAAGGTCGGCCGAATTATTTCGCCACGGCTTCTCGACTGGCCACGTGGATTCGCAAAGTTTTTGCTGATTTGAATACTCGGGCTCGTGTCCTACCTATTTTTGTATGGATTTGAATGATGGGATTGGGCTCTCTCGGGAACAAGATCGGTGGACTTATAATGACTCATCGGTCGCCACGGAAGATTTAGCGACTCGGGGGAACCTGGAGGGGGGTGCTGGACAGTTAGTACGGGAGGTGATGGAGGAGAATGGGATGGTATTGCTTGGCTTGCGCAGCGTCATTGAGCCGACGTGGTACGGCAAGGATGGAGTTGCGAGTCGTGTCGATTATATGTTTGGCCCTGCTGCCGCGTTGGGCCTGGTTCAGTCTGGTGGCCCCTTGAGGGGCCTTATGCGAAAGCACCAACTCATTCCTTCAAAGCACCCTCGGGACCACACACCTGTTCACTGCAACTTTCGGTGGGAGTATGCCGAGCCCAACCTGCAGCAGCAGACTAGGATTTCTTGGAATTTTGAGGCTATGAGGTCCCGAGAGGCTCGTCGCGAATTTATTTCTTGCGCAGGAGAGACTATTGCCAGCAAAGAGGTCGAGCTCGAGGGCTTCTTGAAGGCTGGCCTGCCAGACGCTTACTTCAACTGTTTGAACGAGATACTTCGTTGCGCTGCAGAGCCGTCTTTTGGCGGCGCTCTTTATGCGGCTTCCCCAGAGTACCGACGGCAGGCGGATGAGAGAGTCGCACTGCTTCGTGAGCGGCTCCGTCTGCGTTCGTCTCTACAAGATGCCAGCACGGAGGAGGAGGAGGAGGAGGCCATCAAGCAAGCGTTGAGAGCTAGTAGTAGAGCCTGTGCAAAGCTGCGCAGGAAGCATCATTTGGAATGGAGGGAGGAGGTGGTTACGGAGCTGGAGGAGGCGTGGCGGGCACGGAATCACAAGGAGGCACATCGCCTCATTCGCGTACTGGCATCTCGTGGGAGAGGCCCTCGCGGTAGGAGCTATCGTCACATGCAGGGTGCCACGCTAACTTCTGATGAGTGGTTGAGCGTTTGGGCCCTGGCAGGACCGAGAGGGGGGATGGAGGTGGAGGAGATTGCGGAGGACGAGGAGTGCGAGCAGGTGGGCCAGAGCGGTTATTATGGCGCCTTCAGCGTAGAGGCTATGACAGATTTGATTGGCATTGGTAGTTATCTTCGTAGGGCCCCCAAGAGACGTTCATGCCCGCCATGGTCTCTTCCAGGTGAACTGTGGGGAATTGTCATTGATCCTGAATTTGGGCTTGCGCCAGATCGATTAGGGCTTGGGGCGGACAAAGAATTGGACTCTACTGTTTTGCATACGGATCTGCATCGGGGCCTTCAGTGCGTTCGTTTCGCTGGACGTGTTCCACGGCTCTGGAACAGAAGTTTCGGATGTGGGCTTCCAAAATCGTCGGTGCCAGGGCCCAAGGGAAAGCGTGTGATCCACCTTCTCGACTCTCTGGGAAAAGCTTGGCTTGCCGCAGCTATTGCCCGAAAGCGACCGCTTCCCTTGGGACCTTCGGACTACGGTTTCTCAAGAGGCCGACGAAAGGAAGGGGCCATGTTGGTTATTCAGCGTATGCTACATAGGCTTCGCGCTTCAGGATATTCCGCCAGCTGGTCCAACAAGGACCTCGGCAACGCTTTCGCGTCTACCAGCTGGGACGCGCTCGAGCTTGCCAATTCTCTCTTGCTTTAGCCCGAGGATCAGCGTTTTGGGCTTGATAGAGTACGATCAGCTACTATTCAGTTGCCAGCGTCGGACAAGAGGTTTCTCGTGAAGCCCAAGTGCGGGGCTCTTATGGGCGACCCCTATGCAGTAGAAAGTTTTGGCCGTGCTTATGCTGCCCCAGTGGATTGCTGGAGCGAACAACTCTTGGACTGCGTTGACTCGGAGAGTCTGCTAGCAGCTGAATGCCCAGTCACGCATCAGCACATGGACTTGAGTCTCACCAAGTATGCTGACGATTTGACCAAGTTGCATGTTGGAGGTGGTCCCGACTCTCCTTTGCAAGACTCAGGGCTGGCAGAACTTAGCAGCATAAACGAGTTTTCCAACGCGCGACTAGACGAGCACTTATCTACGGGGGGGATGGGAGCAGAACGTTACGAAGCAGAACACCATCATTAGTCTGACGGGGAAGGGGTCCGTGGATGCCAACCGACGTCTGCGAAAGGATGGGGACGCTCTTTTTTCTGGCGGA